ATTCATGTGAATCACGCAAATTACGCAGGGCCATAACTTCTTTCCGAATGAGTATATTCAAAATCCGAAAACAACGTTGTATTCAGCTCGTCAAGGCGAATCTTTTGATATACAGGTTGTCTCCAATATCTTGTTTTCAATAATCTGAATTTGCATGCCGACGCCTCTTCGCATGGGTGTAACGCAACAAGCATCACACATAGGAAACTGCCATGGGCACCGTTCGATAGTACTCTTTCACTAGATTATCGTGCGCTAAACAGCAGCCGAAGACTCTCTTTTAAAAGAGATAGAAGAGCTGATAAACTCTGGAAAAATTAAGCTGTTCCAAGTTCTACTAGCCGTAACTTTCTTTAGAATGAACATTTTCGAAATCAGAAAGCAGATTTGTGTTCATCTTGTCAAGTCGAATTTTAATGTATACAGCATGTCCTTGAAATTCCGTTTTCAATTTTTTCAAAATTTTCTGCGCGCGTATATTCACAAGGTCGCAACGCAGCGCACATCAAACATAAAAGACTCTATTAAGCATTGTTGGATTATGCTGCTTCCGCAGATTATCGAGCGCTAAGAAGCAACCGGAGAATCTTTTTGAAAAAAGATAGAAGAGCTGGTGAATTCTGGAAAATCGTGTTGTCTCAAATTTTGCCCACAGTGACCCTAAAATGAGAAGCTCTACTGCTAAGCAGATGTGATTTTCGTAGTCAGCAGGTCAGATAACCTCTATGAGCAAGTTTTCAGAGAAAATTTGGGTGATTTGATTTTTTCTCGTTGTACGCCCTGAAGCTCGCCGATGGGTTTTGGTCAAAATGTCGATGATTTTGGATTGTAAAGAAACTTCGTCCAAAGAGGTTTTCGAACACGCTGTTTACGAAGATAGTGGTCTTTGAAGAAGACAGGGTCTTTTTGTAGAGATATTGTGAGGTGACTGTAACTGAGTCACAAAAGTTCGTAAATTTGCTGCACTTTTCGCGAATTTGTCAGAAAACTTGCTTGCTTGCTTTTCTTGCTTTTTCGAAAACCTCTTTGGACGAAGTTTCTTTACAATCCAAAATCATCGACATTTTGACCAAAACCCATCGGCGAGCTTCAGGGCGTAGAACGAGAAAAAATCAAATCACCCAAATTTTCTCTGAAAACTTGCTCATAGAGGTTATCTGACCTGCTGACTACGAAAATCACATCTGCTTAGCAGTAGAGCTTCTCATTTTAGGGTCACTGTGGGCAAAATTTGAGACAACACGATTTTCCAGAATTCACCAGCTCTTCTATCTTTTTTCAAAAAGATTCTCCGGTTGCTTCTTAGCGCTCGATAATCTGCGGAAGCAGCATAATCCAACAATGCTTAATAGAGTCTTTTATGTTTGATGTGCGCTGCGTTGCGACCTTGTGAATATACGCGCGCAGAAAATTTTGAAAAAATTGAAAACGGAATTTCAAGGACATGCTGTATACATTAAAATTCGACTTGACAAGATGAACACAAATCTGCTTTCTGATTTCGAAAATGTTCATTCTAAAGAAAGTTACGGCTAGTAGAACTTGGAACAGCTTAATTTTTCCAGAGTTTATCAGCTCTTCTATCTCTTTTAAAAGAGAGTCTTCGGCTGCTGTTTAGCGCACGATAATCTAGTGAAAGAGTACTATCGAACGGTGCCCATGGCAGTTTCCTATGTGTGATGCTTGTTGCGTTACACCCATGCGAAGAGGCGTCGGCATGCAAATTCAGATTATTGAAAACAAGATATTGGAGACAACCTGTATATCAAAAGATTCGCCTTGACGAGCTGAATACAACGTTGTTTTCGGATTTTGAATATACTCATTCGGAAAGAAGTTATGGCCCTGCGTAATTTGCGTGATTCACATGAATTTCGCGGAATTCCCGGAAATTTTGCATGGTCTGTGAGTGGTTTTGTACTATAAGAGATAGAGCGATAACTCACACAGCGTTTTCTGAAGTACATTTCTTATTGTATATCAAAAATGATCCAATTTTGTGTCGCCAGTGATAAATGATAAAATGATGATATCAATGACAACGACAGATAAGAATGGCTTAAATTCATGCGGTCGATTTCCACGTTCATCTTCCATATAGATGCAGAATTTCAGCCCAGGCTTCGGCGTGAAGCGAGTTGAAGCAAAAATGCCATTCTAGGTAAGAATTGGCAGCAATGGCATGTGCCGATGAGAAATCGATCGATTGCTGCAGCGAAGGATCTACCAATTGCACCGAGCAATAGAACTAGAAAAGCCTGTAGATCACTCATAATGAGAGAAAGAGCGATAGAAATTCACACAGCTTTTCCTACAGTACTTTCCTTACCATATGCAAAAAATGATCCAAAAATGTGATATTATCAGTGATGAATGATAAAATGCTTATATCAGTGATAGGGGTAAATAAAAACTGCCCAATTTTTCGCGATAGTTTTCGATAATGAAAACTTCGTACCAGAACCTGCTATTCGTGATTTACGCTGTGATAAATGTTCACAAAAGCCTTAACATAGAGAACAACAAGGTATCATTGTAAGTCTACCCCCTCACTACGAATTACGGACATACTGTATATCAAACGATTCGTCTCATCAAGCTGAAGCCAAATCTACACGCAGATTGCAAATAAAGTGGATTTAAAGGAAGTTATAGCTAAATCCCGCAAGTCCCGCAAATCCCGCGAATCCCGCAAATCCCGTGAAGTCGCGAATCCCGCAAACATCGCGAATCCCGAAAATCCCGCGAATCCCGAAAATCCCGCAATTTTGGACAAATTCCACGGTCACAACTGTACGTTCTATGACAATCCCAATGTTCGCTCCCGATATCGGATAAAATGGCTACCGCAGCGGTTCACAAACAATGAACCCAAGATAAGGATGACGAATGCACCGAAAAGAAGAAATTACGAGAACCCACATTGTGTGAGAATGCCGTCTATCAAAAATATGGTTATTAACGAAGCATATACTACCAATTCAAAGTGGAAGAGGAGGAAATGGCAAAGACGACAAGCAGCGCCAAACCGCCCAACGGCTCCAGCGACCACTCCAGGAGCTTTTTCCATTAGTAATTTATGTTAATGTATTCCTTTTTGAATGCCTTCCTTGCAGCTCCTCCTTCCATAGCTCATTGTTCTGTATGCATAGGTATTCTTATCTCCTAGTCAACCTCAAATTTATCTGCTACACTAATTAAGATCTTACCAGATCTCACCTTCCTCTCGCTCGCCCGGTGTGTTGATGATTTCTGTACCATCAACCAATGAACTCTACATTTTAGATAGCCTACGGAATCCCCGTAGGCTAAATTGTGAGCTACTCACTCTTGAGTATCTAATCACTCAAGGGTGAGTGGTACCCGTGCGCCAGGAGTGTAGCCAATCGGCGGCATCTCCTTTCAAGCACCAACTCCTTTAGATTGTACCCTGTACTCGGTTCAGCTCCGCCTTCCTTCGTATATAAGGAGCCTCCGAATGTATTAAAGATTGCTACCCGGTCCACACCGGGACACTGAGCATCCCAAAAAGCATGTATCGGAATTTTTCGTAATTTTCCAAAAGCCCATTGACTATGCTGCAATAATTCTTTAACCTTTGAAAAGAGGATGAAGTTCTGCATCGAATGCTACCAAAATCTCTTAGACATCCTTGTTACATCACATGTGGCGGCCGTTTGAAAAAAGCGTTTGAAATTATTTTCGGAATGACCTAATATTATATGGGGGCAGAAAAAGTACTGCCCCTTAGAGTAAAGGCAAAAAATCGGCGTAATTTCCAGATTTTTCTGGAAACTTCAACATAAATTCTAACATATGAATGTATTCTAGCATTTTACAAAGACTGGCCCAAAAAATCTGCAATTTCACCCGGCGGCGTTTCCCATTTCGCAGTGTATCCCATATCAAATCTGGCAACTCTTTTACAAATCAAATCCCAGGTCCGGCCATCTTTTACAAATGTGAAGGAAATGTGGTTTTTTGGAAAATTCTTCTGTTTCAAACGTGGATTTGAGAAATCTGTATTGCTTAGGAAATGTTATAATGTCTTCAAAATATGCTGGAAGCAGCCAGACCGCAGTTGCTGTAGGAGAAAAGTTGGGAAATTTTTCAACAGATAGCGTCTGAATTGGAATTCGCTTGGGCAATAACTCTCTTTGTTTAGCCAAAATCTCAAGTCACTGATCTCTTAAAAGTATAGAATTTTGAAGAGGAGATTATGCTTTACATACCATCCTAATTTGAAATTGATATTGCTCTTGGTGGTATAGTTACTTCCAAAACTGCGCCCAAACGCTGCGGAGCATCGTCGATGGTGCTGTTCGCTGTTATCACTTGTTTAAACAGAAGGTAACCATTCCAAGTCAAACTTTCTTAATCGAAGCACAGAGTGCCCTACATGCAGGAATCAAAAAACTATAGATTTTTCCATCTGTAAGGTTTTTTGGGAGGGAAACTGAGAAACAGTGCTTTTTCCGAACCCTTTAAATTGGAATATTTGTGAGTGTCACAGCGTTTAGGGAGGGTGGAGATGTCGAGTCTGATCTGTCGAAATCCTATGTCAGCAAATCCTCGCCTCTATTTTCACAAGGTTCAATGGTTATGCTCTTGCTCACTATGACCTTGTAAAGCTTGCTTTCTTCTATAAAATATTGCACTGCATGCCCTGTTTGATACCCGCACCGGAGCAAAGTCTTTATCTAATTTGATGTCCGAGAATTTTCTTACCAAACTATAAAAAGACGCAAAGTCTGCGACTTTGGCAAAATCGGCGCGGACTGTGATCTCGGCAGAGTCGACGAATTCGCCGAATTCTTCAAAACTTCACATTCTATTGCACTGTGTATGCATGTAAAAATTCGTGTACGACAATTATCTATTCAGAGATGCTGCTGACGAAACACCCCCGTTCAGCTATTTCGGTGGTATAACCTCATTTCTACGAGTTTTTACACTACTGTTCAAGTTTTCAAATTGCCTTTAATGGATGAAAATCTCACACAAGGGAATGCTTTCTGCACTGCTTTCTTTGTGGTACACAACAGCTCTTCTTCCATCTGGAATCATCCATTTGAATGATGTGTAAAACGACAATCTCTTTAACTTACGTCGCTTGCGTGGAGTTTCTGGTCCAGGACCTGAAACAAAATTTCATCATCTTTCGTAAATGGAATGATTTATTAAATTATTGATTAGGTTTCGCGACTTTCTCCAAAACTTTTCTATAAACGTGGCGCGCTCAAACTTCGGTGTTATACAAACATGTGCAGTACCCACACTAACTATTCGACAGAAAACGCAAAAACTGACGATCCGCGTTTTTTTCGTTTTTTCTTCATAACTTCCTTCAGATTGCATAAAATACGAATCCGAAGAAAGCATGATGTTCAGCTCTTCAAGATGAGCCTTCTGATATACTACATTCTCTTACTATTCCGATTTCAGTCTGCTCGATTTTTGTGTGAGGACGGGTTTTCGTAGTGGTGTAACTCAGTGAATAACACACATGGAAGAATCAAGAAAACAAGGTTCGGTAGAGCTGTCCCCGCAGATTATTATACGCTAGCGCTCGGTGGAGGACTCCCTTACCACAGAGGAAGATAGGCCGGTGAATTTTGAAAAAATTGATGACAATCAATAGCTACCGTGACCATACAGTAAGACGCTAATTTGCAAAGCGGGTGTGTTTTTCGCGATTAGCAGGCTAAATAGCCTCTATGCGCAAGTTTCCCAAGAAATTCGGGCCCTTTGATTTTTTTCTCGTTCAAGGCTCTGAAGCTCGCCGAAGGGTTTTGGCTAAAAATTGATGATCTCGGACTGAACGGAAACTTCGCCCATAGAGATTTTCGGACTCGCTGATTATGAAAATAGTGATCTTTATGCAGCGTAAGTCCCTTTAGCAGGGTTATGCTGAGAGTAATGCTGCGATACTACGCTAGTTCCTAAATTTATCTGCCGTTTTCGCGTATCTGTTGGGCAAATTACCTGCTGCTTTTGTAATTTAAGATCACTAGGGGCAGTGCTTTCATGGCGTGCTTGAGCTAGGCCCTTATCTGTAATGATCGCCGAACTGTGAGCTTACAGACTCACGTCCTCATGAAAATCGTTCAAAATTTTAAGATCGCGTATTTTAGCCAAATATCATCGAGAATGGTTACAGATCGCGTTGACATTATTTACAGATATTATGTTTATGTACATATGTAGATTGATAATTTCAATACAGCTTACGTGCTTACTCCTATGCCAACTCTCACGCTTGCTTACCCCTTGAGCTTGTAGCTCAAAGTTTGCAAAAATATCGATAGAATCGGTGAAGGTAACTATTATTAAAAACTAATATTGTATCCATAATCAGCACTCACACTCACCTACTTATACCAATTCCCAGCCCGGTAGCTCAAAGTTTGCAAAAAATCGGTAAATCGATATCGACCGATGACGAAGCATAGTCCACGAGACCAGCTCGGCCCCTGAGTTGTGTTCAAAGTCTGGTGCATTGGTTCAGATATGCAGTACTGTTGGGAACATACGCGCAGACACACAGACGCACAGGCACTGACAAACAGACATTCATTTGAGTTTAGCATGTTAGAAATAAATAATAGACAATAACAGTTGGAATTCCAAAGTCTGTCAATCTGTCAATCTCTCGTGAAAGTCATAGGCGTCTCCTTGCAACCGTTCATCACCACTTAGAGATAAAAGCCATTGTTTCCAGTTCTAAGACTGGTCAATCTTGCCATTTTACTTTTGTTCATCTCATCTACCAGGTTTTCCAACGTTAAGAGGAGTTCAGAACCGCCCTCACTAAACAGTCTGTTCCAACAGGGGTCAGGCTGAACCGTTGGCGTAAGTTTGTGCGCTCGCAGCGGTATGGTTTTGCGTTGCATATGCGCACTCTCGAAGAGCGAAGAGATAGAAGAGGTTAGGCAAGCTAGCTAGTATGGCGCAAAACCCGCGCGACACGGGCTTCATCATGCCAATTTTGGCTTGATTTTGATACAGACTGTACCTCAACTTGACGTTGCTAGAAAAATTTCTAGGCAAGAAGTGTTTCTTGCCAACTTTGGTTTAGATATGACTCCTTTCAATCTTGAAAAGTCACCGTTCACCCAAATTGGGGTATACTATATTATATTAGGTTGTCAAGAAAATAATGTCGGTTTTTATTTGCATGCTTCAACAAAGCAACCAGACTCAATCCAACAAAGGGTAAGGGGTACTGTTCGATAAAGCAAAGCAAGCTCTACAAGATGGCACTCATGTCTTTGCGCCATGCTCGATCCACGGAGAGTTCGAACTCAAAATCTAAAGATTTCCAAATGCCCAAAAAATCGAAAAAAATCAGATCTTCGTCCCAATAATTTCTATCTCCCACTCGCTCACATCAATACTATCGATATCTGATATCCATATGTGCGATTGCCGTATCTTTTCCTTGACTAGAAACCGAGAAAACGAAAAATTTCTCTGATTTTCTCAAAGCAATGCTGAGCCGTTTTTGCATACGTACTTCTATACTACAACCCTAGGTAAGCATAACTGTAGGTTTTCAGCCTATTTCGAGCAGTACTCGAGAAATGTCAATTTTAGCACTGAAACTGAAACGAAAGAATCCAAATTCGTTATTTTTCGAAAACTACCGCTTGGAATGGGCTGAAAACCTACAATTATGCTTACCTAAGCTTGTAGTATAGAACTACATATGCAAAGCTCAGCACTGCTTTGAGAAAATCAGCGAAATTTTCGATTTCTCAATTTCTAGTCAAGGAAAAAATACGGCAATCGCACATATGGATATCAGATATCGATAGTATTGATGTGAGCGAGTGGGAGGTCCGTAGAAAACTATTTGGACGAAGACCTGATTTTTTTCGATTTTTTGAGCATTTGGTAATCTTTAGATTTTGAGTTCGAACTCTCCGTGGATCGAGCGCAAAGGCATGAGTGCCATCTTGTAGAGCTTGCTTTGCTCTATCGAACAGTATTCCTTACCCTTTGTTGGGTTAAGTCCGGTTGCTTTGTTGAAGCATGCAAATAAAAACCGACATTATTTTCTTGACAACCTAATATTATTAGGTTGCCCGAAAGTTTTGTCGGTTTTTTCAAACCGCTATAAAACTATGCGCAGTAAAGACCTAAGTGAGTTTTAAAGTGCTTTCGATGCAGCTCTTCCTTCTCTTTCTTATGGTTACATTTTCGTGCAACAATTTTGTATGCTTCTTTTGATAATTGTTACAAATCTTCACCCGTCATTTTTATGTGCTCAAAGTTAAGCTAATTCTTAAAAATTCCATTTCAATATTTCGGAGATGCTTAAGTATGGCACAAATAGAACAATTCTCGGACTAGAAGATGCTGTTTTTAGATTCTCCTAACCTGCTGTTTCTAGCTTCAAAAAATTATTTCTTCTGATGTCTCGATTTTTGGCAAAGCCATGAAACACGCAACTGCAGCGGAAACATGAAAGCTTTTAAGATTTCTGCGAATTAAAACTTGATTGCTAATAAACAATAATTATGCAACATAACCAAATTTGATTTGTATTGAAAATTCAGCTTTTTGAAATTTTCGGAAACTTTACGTGATAGACGTAATCAAAAAAGCTGCGGTTTTTGTTAAATAAATAAATATAACGGACTTGATAAACGTGGCCTATGTAATCTAAAATAAAAGCAATGTAGCCAAAGATTTGCTCTACATAACAGTTGTTAACGCTCTTCAAGAACAGCAGAAGATAATTTTTTTTGAAATTCAGGAAAATTTGGCTTTACTGTTGCGCTGCTCAAAAAGCCATGGCGATAACATCGCAAAGACAGGGTAGATCAGAGAGCAAATATAGCTGTAAGAAAGAGGATAAAAATATGAATTCATTGATAACTAGATCGTCCGTGGATTGGTGTTCTGTGAGTTCTAGTGAGCGGTGAAAGAAACCGATAAAACTTTCGGGACAACCTAATATATTATATAATATTTATTGCACAGGAAGTGCGCCTTTACAAATCATAGAACACAATTAATACTCACTCAAAGAGCAAAAAGAAATGGACATAGGACAGAAACCTGAAATTATTATTTTTGGAAGAAAGAAAAATGTTCTCAGATAACAACCGTACACAGTTTTGAAAGTCAGCCTGACACTACTACACCAATATGACATGACATCGGAATTATAGCATGTAAAATTGACTACTTTGACTTTGTTCATATTCCATAAGTTTTCTATCTTTTTAGGGCAATCGTACAAAAACTTTTGAGCAGAAACTGCAAAAATCAATGAACGATAGAGTCAAACGGTGCGCCCCGAATAAAAAGGCTTATTAGCACATGCCTCATCTTATACATTATGTCTACCAAATTTGGTTCAGATTCCATAACTTCTTCTATCTTTTTTGGGCGAACATACAAAAAGTGGCTAAGCCAAGTATTATGTATATCAGGTCGTTCCATAAGTTCGTAGCGTTTTCATTTTCGTCCGCATACCTCTGAGGAGCTGTTGGTTTGCGGCAAGCTGCGTTTATCATTTGGAAGGGCTGATGCTCTTTACGCCTACTGACTTCGCTGGAAAGCTGAACTCGAATCTGCAGCTTCCAAAGATGGAAGTTTTGAAAGGCAAAAAGGATCACTTTCGGCATTTGCGCATTTTTCCTAATGAAAAGGAGCGCTTTTGCACAGATTTTTGTGTCGATTATGGAAAATGGCGCTCGCACATCAATATGAGACAAAAAGGACTGGATTGTTACAAAAGATTAGGGGCTGAGCAGGGTGTCCCTGAACAAGACTTATCGGGGGACGGGGAGGACGTCCTGCATTGTAGATTGCTGTACAGGTAAGCGATGGTCAACCATACCGTAAGCAATTCAATGCACCGTTTGAACCTGGGGCGGTATGCATCAATCTCCCGTTTTAAAAGCGGGCGACCATTTTCACTAGTCCATACATTGCGGGTCGGGCGGCCAACCCGGCCGGGCGAACATTTTCTATTGAAAATGATCGCCCGCTTTCTTAAACGGAAGATTGATGCATATCGTCCCAGGTCTCAACGCGAAAAAAGCCCAACAGGCAGATTTAGTGAGCTTTTCTGCATGACGAAACATGGCCTCATACGGCAAACGTCGTCAAAACTGCCCTGCAC